GGATAGGAGGAAGAAAATGGATGGATGGATGGATGGATGGATGGATGGATGGATGGATGGATACTATCAAAACAATTGGAAATTAACCAAAAGTCTATGCGTGATAAACTAGTATGTACTTTATTGCTCCAAGTATAAGAACTAACATTAGGATTCTTTTCTCTCCACATATCAGTTAAATTAAATTTGTGCATAAACTGTATTAAATTAGAAACCTTAAAATAATTGGTTCACAGAGGACATCCATCTTGAAGACTGTCCAAAGTGATATTGAAGTCACCATCATTGCATTTGGATATTTAGAAAGCCAATATAAAAAAATGAAACTCTAAAAGATTTAGCATTGTATCATTTTCACATTTTGAGTTATACCCAAACAAGAATTACAGTATCAGTTGTGTCAAGAACCAAAATAAAGAAATGTCCATTAGGATCACCTTCAGAGTGTAAAATGGCTCCATTGAAGGAGTTTTTCAGAATAAAAACTCCTAGATACTGACCTGCTGCTCTTTCTGAGCCATGTGCAAACTGTCACAGCCCCACTGCCTTTAACTGTGCATCATCAACAGAGTGTCTCTTGGAAAAAGAAAAGTCTGTTTTTTGTTGCTTTGAAAATAAAAATAAAGCTTTGTGTTTAACATTCTGATGGGAGTTTCCACTCAGATCATCAAATCACTTCCTGTTCTGATGATGTAATCTCCTGTTCTGATGATGTAACTTCCTGTTCTGATGATGTAATCTCCTGTTCTGATGATGTAATTTCCTGGTCTGATGATGTAATCTCCTGTTCTGATGATGTCACTTCCTGTCCTGATGATGTCACTTCCTGTCCCCCACAGACAAGCCCTCCCTGTCCCCCCTGCTCAGACAGCGGTACCTGTTCGATGTCTCCTCCTCCTCTGAGGTTCTGGAGGTTCTGGGAGCTGAACTCAGGATTTTCACCAAAGTGTCTGAGACCTTCAGGATGTCAGAACCAGAACCTGTGGAGGTCCAGCTCCTCTCCTGCCGGGACCACCAGCTGCTCACCTCTAAAACCCTGGACCTGCAGGAGTCCCGGGGACCACAGTGGGAGGTGCTGGATGTGTGGGGGGTCTTCAGACAGAGGACTCTGGGGGGAGTCTTCTGTCTGGAGCTCAGAGCGGTTCTGGACACCCCTGAGAAGGAACTGGACCTGCATCTGCTGGGCTTGGACCGGCACCAGAGACCTCAGCAGGARAAGGCCATCTTAGTGGTCTTCAGCAGGTCCAGGAAGAAGAAGACCCTCTTCAGTGAGAGGAGGGAGCAGGGGGTCTTACTGGGTACCAAAGCCAGCAGGAGGCGCAGGACAGCATCTAGAACCCGCCACGGGACCAGACCCGGCAGGAAGTCCAGGTCCAGGTGCAGCAAGAAGCCCCTGCAGGTGAACTTCAGGGAGCTGGGCTGGGACGACTGGATCATCGCCCCCCTGGACTACGAGGCGTACCGCTGCGAGGGGGGGTGCGACTTCCCCCTGCGCTCCCACCTGGAGCCCACCAACCACGCCGTCATCCAGACCCTGATGAGCTCCATGGACCCGGTCCACGTGCCCCCCAGCTGCTGCGCCCCCACCAGACTCAGTCCCATCAGCATCCTGTTCATAGACTCTGGGAACAACGTGGTCTACAGGCAGTACCAGGACATGGTGGTGGAGTCCTGCGGGTGCAGGTAGGGTCYGGGCTGGGGGGTCAGGACTCTGGCCCAGAACTTTCTGGGGGGTTGTAGATCCTCTCTGGTCTGGGACCACCTCCAGGAGGAGCTGGAGGTCTGGGTTTTTCTCCTGGACCACAGGATGAAGGACCAGACAGGGTCCGGTTTGTGATCTGGACCTTGTGGACCATAAGGACCTGTGGACCTGGTCAGCGTTGGGTCTGATGACGGGCCTGCGTGTGTGACTGTGAGGCCTTCTGGCAGCAGAAGAAACCGKACCCGACCCAGTTCCTCCTCCTCAGCCTCTTCCCGTCCCACAGGACCGTTCTGGACCAGGACCTGCAGATGTCTGTCTCCTGATCCAGACCCAGCTGGCTCTGGTTTGTCGGAGACGGTGTGCGGCTCGTGTGCAGGCGGACCCTGAGAGGACGGAGGGTTCTGTAAGTGGAAACAGAACCGGTGTGGCTCAGCGGTCCAATCATCGGTTCTGACAGAGCTGTGGTACCGTCAGCCTGCAGAGGAAATAAAGACCAGAGGAGTCCAGGTCCTGGTCCAGACTCAGTCCTGCTGGGACTGAGCGTCACTGAAACAGAACCGACCCAAAAGAACAGCAGAGCTCTCCAGAACCTCTCATCTAATCTCTAATAAACTGTTATTTATTTTGATTCATTTAGAGGATTATAATCATGTTTTTAATTATTAATTTATATCCATTAAAGTGTCTAAAGTAATGACTGTTTGTTTTTCTTTGTTAATAAAGTATCTTTTGTTAGAACTGTGATGTTCACAACTASAAACACTTTCCTGAATATTTTTTAAATTAATCTTTCAAAATGTCATATCAGCTTATTTACATCCCATAATGTCATCCTTTAATTTAAAYAATAAAACCTAAAACMCCTGCAAGTGTTTCCTGTGGAAAATAAAACCTTACCTCACAGCTCTTCTAAAATAAATGATAAAAACACAGCTGTTCACAATCAGCAGCCTCATCGCACCGGAGCTGAAAGATGGCGTCGGTTTGTTTACATTTCACTGCGCATGCGCCAAACCGGAAGTCCCCGGATTGGCCTTTTAATTCAAACCCCAGATCTAAGCGACATAACTGGACTTTAAAACGTTTGTATATTACACATTACTTTTAACAAGTTATTTTATATGTATGTATATATACCTCTATATATAATGATATAAAGTATTTATATTTAAAATACAGACCGATCTGAAGTGGACCAGTGAGCTCCGAGACTTCCCGCCTAGTTTAGCCTGGAGAGCAGACACTTCCACCAAATTAAGGTAAATAATGTTTATTAATGTTCTAAATAATACATTTTTATTTTAACTTTCACAGTTTAAATCCGACTGTTTTAAGTGTTTCAGGTTAAATGTTAATTTTAGCTCGTTTAGCTAAACATTAGCGATGCTAACATGCTAAGCTAACACTTTGGGGCACTTTAAATACTTAATTTATGAAACTTTTAGATCAATTTTTCAGGTCTGTAAGGCCTGTGATATAAAGTGAAATACGAAAATTGGTCAAACTAGAGCTCAACATGTTTGTTTATGTTGATTTTGATGTTTTTTTATAAGAGTAAATTGCAGCTAGGCTAGCGCTTCTAGCAGGTTGTTCAACAGTTTTTATGATGAAAGTGAATAAATCTGCAGCCAACAACTGTAGATTATWTTGTGTTTTTGTGTTTTAAAGCCACATGTGTGTTTTTATGCTGCTGTATGGTTGAGAAGGAATCAAGTGTCATCCTAAAGACAGTCGGGTCAGAACCAGAACATCTCCTCTCACATGCACCACATGTTGTGGATGTTTCTGACACATCTGCAGAGGTTAGAGGAGCTCAGACACATTCCTTCCTGATTATCTTTTATTACAGCTGAACGCAGAGACTGGAGGTGCTGCACGTCTCTGAACATCTGAAATCAGTTTCAGCTGCAACAAAACTCTCAGTTTGAACTCAAACAAGTTGTTTTTTCACTAAAACCTGACAAACTGAAGACAGCGGCACGTTAAAGACACAAACAGAGACCTGAGGCTGGAGTCTGACACTAACAGTGCTGATGGATGATTAGAGAGCGTCTGGGTCGGGTCGGGTCGGGTCGGGTCGGTCGGGTCAGGAGGTGTTGGTTTTTTAGAGGGTCCGACTTTAATGTTTCCCTCTGACAAGAAGAAGACCTGCTGCTCCACATTCACTGTCATAAATTCATGTATTTATTCACAGAAACCCCCCGTCTGTCGAGACGGACCTTCCTGGTTCTGGTGTCAGGTTTAGGGTTCAGCAGGCGACTTGTTGGGACAGGTTTGGACCCGATCCTGTAATCTCCATGGGAATGGGCCTCAATCTGGACTAACACCTACAGGTCTGACTGGGATGGAGCTCTGGGTCTGATGGTTCTGGGTCTGATGGTTCTGGGTCTGATGGTTCTGGGTCTGATGGTTCTGGGTCTGGTGGTTCTGGGTCTGGTGGTTCTTGGTCTGATGGTTCTGGTTCTGATGGTTCTGGGTCTGGTGGTTCTTGGTCTGATGGTTCTGGGTCTGATGGTTCTGGCTCTGATGGTTCTGGCTCTGAAGGTTCTGGGTCTGATGGTTCTGGGTCTGGTGGTTCTTGGTCTGATGGTTCTGGGTCTGATGGTTCTGGCTCTGGTGGTTCTGGCTCTGAAGGTTCTGGCTCTGATGGTTCTTGGTCTGATGGTTCTGGGTCTGATGGTTCTGGCTCTGATGGTTCTGGCTCTGGTGGTTCTGGCTCTGAAGGTTCTTGGTCTGATGGTTTTGGGTCTGATGGTTCTGGCTCTGATGGTTCTGGCTCTGGTGGTTCTGGCTCTGAAGGTTCTTGGTCTGATGGTTTTGGGTCTGATGGTTCTGGCTCTGATGGTTCTGGCTCTGGTGGTTCTGGCTCTGAAGGTTCTTGGTCTGATGGTTCTGGCTCTGAAGGTTCTGGGTCTGATGGTTCTGGGTCTGATGGT